CATCCATCCATCCATCCATCCATCCATCCATCCATCCATCCATCCACAACTGAGTGCTGCTGATGTAATGGACCATAATGTCATCTAGCTGCTGATATATACTATTTATTGCAATCTATGACATTTCCTTGACTATAAGTAAATTATAGCAATTTTTTTAAACCATTGTTTGTCAAAACGACCATTGGGGGGGAATTAATTGGTCAGTAGTTTAAACAAAAGCAGTCATAAAGGGGAAATGACTGAATACTTGATGAAAAGGGAACATTAAAATAAAAATAAAATAGCTTAATAAATAGCAACAATCACCAATGAGAACATTTCTGAAATGTTGAGAACCAACACATTTTCTTGCACTTAAAATATTGAGTTAATAATGAAAAATAAACTACACAGTAGGCCTAGCATATAATATAAAGTTCAACTATAAAGTTCAACTCTAAGACATCACTACATTTCTAATTGCTCATTGATAGATTCCTTTTAAAATCCCAAATGAATTGGTTTGACCTACATAAAACCTTAGAAAAATACATAAATAATGTTTCATCTTGCTTCTCTTTAAATAAAAACAGCACAATGTGATCTTTGAAATCTCAGGGAGATATCCAAGCTTTTTTTTTTATTTACGGTTCCCACCTGGTTTATGAATGAATAACCACTGGGCTCTAGGGACGAGCCCACATCCTCCACAAAAACCGACCAACCTCTGGCTGTACTCCAGTTCAAATGTGTTCTCAGTGTTCACTTTTTGCCCTGCTGTGGACACTCACGCTGCTCACCAATATGTGTTATTCTGCAGTCGAACACTCCCAAGGGTATAATTATGCCAGTTCTCAAGAACTCAGCTGGCATATTTCTTTCTTCTGCCTAATTTCAAAATAACTGGATGACGAGATGATTCTGTAATTTAATTTCACTCAGTCCTCACAGATTGTGCACACCCCTAAACACATGTTTTATTGAGGTTGTGGGGGTTTGTGTGCCTGCAGTGCAGACTGCTTGGTGGGAAAAAGAAGAGGATGGAGGGAAACACAGGGCAATTATGAGGCTGAGGACAAGACTCTGCAAACAGATCTGACAAAGACATGAGGGAAATGTGTTGAATCCCATTGATTCTCATTAGTGCATGAGAGGTAGACATGAGGAAAGGATATATACTTTGACAAGCAGTGGTGAAGCACCTGACCATTTTCCCTCCTCGTGTAAGAATTTGGCCACAGACTTTTTCTTTCTCTCTTTTCTAACAGCACCAGCAGAACAGTGGCTGCTGACACCCCATGCTGTTCTGCCTTGGTGGGAGGGTGGGGGTGTAGAGGGGGGGTTATAGCGGGGTAGTAGTGAGGAGCCAATCAATGTGAGCTTACAAAAGGGGGAAGGGGGGAGCATTCAGAAAGCCAACAGTTCCCTCAGGCCACAGGCAATGAAGGAGTAGCAGAGACAAGCAGGCAAAGAAAGAGGCGAGGGGGTTGACAACATGTTTCCTTTACTGCTCTGTGCTGAGAGGAAAGAAACATGAGTTCTGCAACTCTGACATGCAGCAAGTGGTATACTAGCAGCAGCTCTCTGCTCTTTTTAACCCGTTAACTGTCACGTTCTGTCCGCGGGATGTATGTGGTGCCTCCA